GACGATAATAGGTTAAGGTATTGCCGAAGCCAACTTTTCCCCTAGCTCTTATACGCATTTTTTCTTCCTCCTTATACAAGTTCTGATAGTCTAGTGGTTGAAGTATGGGTTTTATGATCCCAATGTTATTGGTTCGAATCCTTTCTGAAGCTTTATTTTATTCTGTTTTACATGTTTTGGTTAAAAGTTGAAAGTTAAATTCATGAACTTAGTTCATGGTTTCAACTAGGATGATTCATGATTTTAGGAATTTTGACTGCGTGACGCAAAAATAGCTCATGATAGGGTAGATAGGGGCAATATGGCCCCCCTAAGAAAAACACATCATAACATTCACATGAAAAACATTCATAAATGTATGATAGCTGTGATCATGCTCATGCTCATGCTTTGGAATATGTTTGATAATATAGGTACAATGTTCAAAATATGGATAAATATGATAGACTGGACAAATTAATATGTTTGAAAAATTTCAGTTTTTGCTCCGATCAATATGAGGGGGCAATATGAGCACCCTAGTAAAAGTTAACGTTTTGACAGGTTTTCACTAGAAAATAACATTCAGGAATCATGTGAATTAGAAACATAAGTTCTTTTAGCACCAGTGACGTGTATTGCTCGCTGTAGAATCAGCGGATCAGTAAAATGTAATATAGTGAATGCAATGCTTGTTTTCATGACTGCATATCTTATAATATTCTGAAGATTTTGAGCTAATGTTACATTTCCATTATTATCTTAGAGATGTAATTGAATTTTGATACGGTTTTCATGGAGATGCATATTAGAAGCATTTTCAACAAGTTTGTAAAAAAAATTAGATTGAGCCCAAACGAACCCCTATCATGAATATTATTCATGGTATATTTTCATAACATGAAAACACGCTATGTTCATGAAATCATGAGTAATTTTTTTCGTTTTGGTGATTGGATTTGTTCTCGTGTATGGACCCAAATTAGGGGCATTTAGGCCGACATTACATCCATTTCCCCTATATGTAAACAATTTCATGTCGATTCTTCAATCATCAATGTACTAATTGGTTTTCTTCTTATGTTTCATCAAAGTAAAATAAACGCGGAAAATTAAAACCGGATGCATTTCCGAGGAAGTAGGTACCAAGCAGGAATAAGAGAAAACAATTTGTCTTACAGCTTTTTTTTTAATTTCCTTTCACCCATGGGGATGATTCTGCTACCCAAAAGTTTTGCGTATCTGGTAAAGTTTGGACCGAGTAAGTTACGAAAAGTTTCAGGCATTCTTATTATGTTATTCTTTTATGAGGAACAGTATATAGTTATAGCCGTTATAGCTAAACCTTTTCCACCACGGCAATCGATTTAAAAATCACAAACTCAACATCAAAGCAATCCCAGTTGGCGCCGCCGGGATTTTCCGAGGCATCAAAATCTCTGATCACGCCTTCCTTCGGAAGGGAAGTAAAGTCGTTGGTCCCCGGTCTATGAGTTGATAGGTCGATAGGTAGGGTCTATATTTTTTTTGTCGTCAATCAGTGTAGACGGTTTTACAATTGTTGTCTTAAGTGCTATTTTTACAATTTTGTATATTTTTTATAATATGTCTTAAGAACAAGTTAAAACATTACTTCTAGTTGACGTTATGCGACTAATTAAAATATTGCTTGACTTGCGATGACGATTTGTAGCAAATATAGTTCTATTTCGTAAATGCCTAGATGGTGTATATACATTTAAGGATGACAATAGTTCTATTGAATCAATGCGATGTGATACGATATCGTTTACGAAAAAAATCATAGCAAATTCACGACGCTCTTTTAATGTTTGGACGCTCGGATATACACCTACAATTAGCTGAAACGTTTTATGAAACCAAGCATTTGTTAGCTCTGTTAATAATTGTGTTATAATGATCGGTGAAAGTAAGTTTTGAGTCCAAAATAACACCTAGATCCCTGACTCTATCACACTTTTCTACGATCTGGTTTCCTAAAGTGATTGTTATATCGGGTAGGATTCGTTTTCTACTAATGGTAATTGAGTTACATTTTTTATATTTAATTGTAGCAGGCTTTTTTGACACCAAGTATAGAATATCTGTATTTCCTTTTTGAATGTCATAATGTCTTTGGCATCTTTTATTTCCAAAAAAAAGTTAAATGTCGTCAGCATATATTAAAACTTTCAATTTCTTAATAATGAAAGATATCTCGCGTCACTTTTCTAATAGACCAATGTAACAAATTCACCATTTTGAGAAAATCGAAGTTAAAGTTCGACAGATTATTAATTTAACTGTTCAAAAACAATACATTATGCAATACTATTTTTAATGTAGTCAGTGTATAATAACGATGAAAATTCAGAAGAAACGGTTAAATCACAATTTTGCTTTGATTTTCATGCTACAACATAGAAACAACCACATAGGACGTTTTGACAAGTCGAGTTGTACATCGGACATGTAACATTGGACGATTTTTCTCAATGACATAATCAATGCTAGATAAACATTTCAAAAGGTCCTATCTGACATTTGTAAACAAATCGAGTTTAATGCTTCTCTGTACTGCAGAGCTCACCATCTCTAAGTATTGTTCTAGAAATTTTAATTATCAATATTCAGAAAATTATAAAAATATGTGAAAAAAACGTCCAATTTGAAAGTTTTTATAATATCGCACAGCTCTCTGATTGGACCTTAAACATGTTTACAGTCCAATCTGTCATTCAACAAAAAAAAAATAAAAATGCTATTAGGACCTTTGTTTCATCTTGTGTTTCACGTGGAATAGAAAAACTAAAACTCATAGTTGGAAATGCTATACTAATATGAACATGAAGTTTTAGAAATTCCTATGGATCCAAGATCTAACTGGGAAGTGGGATATGAGAAAGTTTAATTTACGATGCCTGTAATCAATCGCTCTGCTTCTGGTATGGAGTTGACGAATTAATTGCGATTCCAGGCGTATACCAAGGCAAAAGCTTATTCAAAATTCTGTCAAATCCGACATACGATATTACAAGCGTGAATTTGGACGAGGATTTCGATCCAATTGCGGATCAACCACTTGAATTGCCAAGTGCTAAATTGGACGATTTACGCAAACTGATGCCATATGTCAAGCAAAAAGATTATTTTGCAACATTGCAACAGAAAAAAACAGGAAGAAGAACAATAATACGGTTGTAGACCACTTTGATGTGGATCTCAATCCACTGGAGGACAGCGATGTAGATTTGATCGAATAACATGAATGAATGTAAATTATTGATGAACAGCTTGAGCTAATAAATGTAAAACGAATGATGTAGAATGAAAAAAAAAGAGTTTGTTTATAAAAATATACCGAATATTAAAAAATATGCAAATTTTCCATACACTTACATTTTTCCTGCATACATCAGAAAAAATAATAGACAAGTTCTTATTATAAACGTTGTTTACTTAATAAATTGGCAGAATAGTAGTTTTAAGCCCATCAACAATTACAAATAATGATGTAGTTGTAATTATCTGACCTCTAAACCGTATTCTTACCAAGGTCCTAAGTAACATTAACTTTGCAACTTTGGTCCTAACTGATACAGAAAAAAGCCAAAGGTCCTATGTAACAAAACCACGAATTAAACCTGAAAATTATGAATAAAACGAAGAAACATACACTTCAGTCGAATTCTATGTGTTTCCTATGCATTTGAGAATACAAAATATTATCGTTTTATGTCGTAATTAAAAAAGGCATTTAAAAATATATTGTAAAAATTCAAATCAATTTTTCTCCAATCAGCTTCAATGACAGATAGGACCTTTTGAAATGTTTGTCTAGAATGAGTGTTACATTGGACGATTTGTTTTACATGATACTAGATTCCCTTTCACGAATGTCATAGTAGAGTACCTAACTTTAGATTGGCCCCGCCTTTAGAAAATGAGCACCAATCATGTTAGGCAGTCCAAATGACCGAAGTAACAAACATGTACCCATCATTTCAAACTGTACATTGGACAATTTTTGACCTATGATTATCTTAAATAAATGAAAGTAAATTTGGATGGATGTTTTTGTATCACATACAATGATAGAAGAGCAATAGTTTGTATCGCTTAACTCGATTTGTTTACATTTGTTACATTGGTCTATTTGAAAAGTGACGCGAGAATTCTTGATTACCGATCACCTTACACGTAGAAACACGGTAGAAACCCTTTGGTTCCGGTACTTTTTTACTCGACTTTTTATGATTTTAAGCTGAACATTGCATTAGGTCCTAAGTAACATTGATCGATTCTCTTCATCGACTTTCTCTTTCGTTAATAACTTAACTTGGGTATAGAACCGTTTCTTGTAATTTTTGTCGTAGAAGAAGATAGAAAAAAGCTTTTTTCGTCGATCTGTGAGCTGAAAATAGCTGAGAATGTCTAAACATGGCCGTAAGGATGCAAAGAGAAAGTCGTCGAAGAGAATCTGTCAATGTTACTTAGGACCTAATGCAATGTTCAGCTTGATATACACGGAGAAAAAATACTACCCAAAATTTGAGTTCTTTTTACTTAATATTGACTTCAGCCTCTCCCTTGCACTCGTTATTGTTGTCAAAAAAGGAACAAGAGATTCGACCCAACGATATAGTTCAGCCTAATAAGCTATACTTCTGAGTAAAATGCATATTCTCAAATTTACGTGAATTAAACTTAATTTTGGGTAGAATATACTTAAGAGTAGGTAATTTTTTTTTGCTGGTGTTAAATGGAAACTACTATATGCGATTTACTCAAATTTGGGTTATTGGGCTGAACCCCGGAATCGAGGGAAAAGTACTTAATTTTGGGTAGTTTTTCATCTCCGTGTATGAGTAAACTGATCTCATATATGGGTTTATCTCATTGGTCGTGTAATTCATTCGTCAATCTCGATTAAGATTTTTTTTAACACCTGGCATCCCTGGTCGGATTTGACAGCAGCGAGAACGAAAAGAAGAAAACTCTAATTTTCGCAACGATGACGACCTGCCTCTAGTGGTGCGCGTTTGTTGCTGAATAAAATTAATTTTTCGCTTTGCAAACAATATCAAAACTATAAGAATTACCAATAAACTTATTCCTCTTAAAACAGTGAAGTGAAAAAGTGCCACCAATGGCTTCCAGGGAGATAGTGTAAGTATAAAACATGGATTTTCGTTTTAGCCAACAAACGTTTCCAAGCGTGTCATCAAACTCCATGTTTGACAGTGGATGGGTGCTCCGTAGTGGGGATCTCTTATAAGCGAAAGTGAAAGTTTTCTAATTGAAATTTTCTTCATTTTAGTATTGCGTCGGACGATTCCGAGTCTTCAGACCTGGAGGTGAAGTCTCCGGAAAAGTTGGATCTTAAAAAGGCTAAAAAGCATAAGAAACATAAAAAGCACAAGAAGTCTAGCCGTGTCGAAAAGGGCGACAAACCTAAATCCAAGAAGCATAAAAAGCACAAACGTAAGCACCGCGAGGAGGAGGGAGAGGTCTCTGATTCCAATGATGAAGATGAAGAGAGCGGAAAGAACGGATCAAAGATTGACATCCGGAAGTTGGAGCATGCTATCCGGGTGAAACCGAAGGATGACGATAGTAGACCGAAGGATAATGGAAATTTGAAAGCTTCATTAGAAAAGCGCAAGCTTTCGGTGCCGGAAATATCGACCGACCCTGAAAAATTGGTCGCTATCTTGACGCAATCGTTGGACAAAAATAAGCCGACTGCGGAGAAGGTAGCTCAGCTGGATGTGGTGTCCATCGAGAGTGACAGTGACGGAACGATTGTGGAAGATGCTCCCAGTCCGGATGTTGCCGTTATTGAAGATGAGCTGAATCTGGAGGATCTAATGCGACAAAAAGCACTGCTCCAAGCCCGATTAGGAGAGTTTGCTTCCGATGAAGAAGAGGAAGAGGAAGGCGAAACCCATGATACATCGGATGGTAAATTACGCTCAGGAACGAGTGATAAGCGGAAAAATAAGAAGAATGATGACGACGTAATTATGATTGAGGGTGATTCTAGCGCTGAAGATGTTAACCGTCTTTTAAAGAAAGCCCGCCAACGGAGTCGTTCACGAGGTCACGAGGATTGTAAAAGAAAGACCTCTGATTCGGATAAGCGCAGCAGCCGAGGAGAAGTGGAAGCAAAGGTTCGTGCAAGGCAGCAGGAAGTGGAACGAGAACGGGCACGTGATGAAAACCGGCGGCAGCGTGAGCATGAAGAATACAATCGGCGAATGGCAGAGGAACGTTATGAACGGGAAAGGGCTCGTGATCGCGAAAGAGATCGTGAACGTGAAAGGGATCGCGCCAGAGCGAGACAAAGGGATAGAGATCGTTCCATGGAGCGTTACCGGGATCGGAGGAACTCAAGGGATCGCCGTTCGATGGATCGTGGAGGCAATGGTAGGAGGTTTGGTTCACGTGATCGTTATCGTGGTCGCAGCCGGAGTAGGGACCGAGATCGCGATTGGGACCGTGATGATCGGGGCCGTTATGATCGTGATAGAAACGATCGCAACGGACGAGATCGGCGAGGTGGCGCAAGGCGCAGGCCTGAGGATGACAAATTCAAGGACTCGTTGAGTGAAGGGCTCAAGCTGCAAAAGGAATCTAGTAGCGATAGCGAACTGGAGGACATCGACATCGACGACGAGGAGGATGAAGAGAAAATCATCGAAAAGAGAAGAAAGCAACGAGAGGAGCTTTTGAAGGTAATTGGTCGTTGCTTAGAGAATCAGTTTTAGTAAAATCTTGTATTATATTTTAGAAACTTGGCGTCACAAACGAAGACAGCAATCCACCCCAGGAAGCACCTAAGGCAATCGTAGATGAAGCCAAAGTTGAACCGAAACAAGCTCCGAAGCATGTTCGTAACAGTAATCATATCGGCAAATCCCGCAGAAAATCAGACGACTTTTTCGTCATTGAAGAACCGTCCAAAGTAGATTCCAACAATGCTAAAGATTCACTTGATGATTCTTTAACCCCACCGATTCCAATTACCAGAGTAAGTGCGGAGGAACGTATAGAGTCCCGAGACGATGAAAAATCCAAACAGGACAGGGGAAGCAAACGTGCCGAATGGGACATGTTTGCCGAGCAGGATATTGACTCTAACTTTGATTCACCGAGTACGGTGGTAGCCAATAAGCAAGGCAACGAAAACCCTGCCCTGACCGACAACTGGGACGACGCTGAAGGATACTACCGCGTGCGTATCGGAGAGGTACTGGATAATCGCTACGTAGTCGCTAACTATACGGGCCAGGGTGTGTTCAGCACCGTAGTTCGTGCGAGAGATCAAGCTCGAGGAAATGCGTTGGTTGCAGTCAAGATCATTAGGAATAATGAAATAATGTAAGATGTTTTTTTTTGCTCGTCATCATCTAGAGTGTAGAAAACTAACAAGTTTCGTTTCAATATTCAGGCACAAAACTGGGCTCCGTGAGTTGGAAACACTGAAGAAACTCAACGACACTGATCCTGAGGATCGATACCACTGTCTCCGTCTGTATCGTCACTTTTTCCATAAACAGGTTTGTATTCTTTATCTTTTTCAGTTGATTGATCGTTTAATTTTTGGATTCTCTTGAAACAGCATCTTTGCATGGTCCTGGAACCGCTCTCTATGAATCTGCGAGAGGTACTTAAAAAGTACGGCAAAAACGTCGGTCTCCACATTAAAGCTGTTCGCAGCTATACGCAACAGCTGTTGCTGGCGCTGAAGCTGCTCAAGAAGTCTGGAATTCTGCACGCAGATATCAAACCAGACAACATCCTAGTGAACGACAACAATCTGGTGCTGAAGTTGTGTGACTTTGGCTCGGCTTCCTCGATCACGGATAACGATATCACCCCGTATCTGGTATCACGGTTCTATCGTGCTCCGGAGATCATTCTCGGCCTTCCGTACGACTATGGAATCGACATGTGGTCTGCCGGTTGCACCATCTATGAATTGTATACTGGAAAAATCTTATTTAGTGGTAAATCAAATAATCAAATGCTTAAATTTTTTATGGATTTAAAGGGCAAGATACCAAACAAGATCATACGGAAAGGACAGTTCAAAGACCAGCATTTCGATCAGAACTGCAACTTCCTATCGCACGAGATCGACAAAATTACGGAGCGGGTAAGTTTTTATATATCTTAAAAACAAGCATTCAGCCCATCAAATGTTTCCCTTTTTCAAGGAAAAAGTCGTCGTCGTTTCGGTGATTAAACCGAACAGAGACTTACAGCAGGAATTAATCGCCGGTCAAAACCTTCCGGATGACCAGATTCGAAAGGTTTCCCAACTAAAGGATCTACTGGACAAAGTTTTCGCCCTGGACCCGGCAAAACGAATTTCTTTGAACCACGCATTGGCGCATCCCTTCATTCAGGATAAGATCTAATCAGGATAATCCTGCTTTAAAAGCGGTAGGACCGCCTTTGGAAGCGACGCGCTCGTACGAAGACTCATCTTCGTATTATGAAAGAATAGATCAGTGTGTGTGATAAGCATAGAAGTACGCGTTGATGATCTCTTGTTTTTACGATGCAAAAATAAGAGAGGTAAACAAACTGAAACTCGTAGTTGAAAACAAAACAAAAAATAATATGCAAGATGAAACTAACTGTAGAAAAACAATCCGTTTAAATTATGATTTCAAAATATGTAATTCTGTAGAAGTATTAGTTATTATGTGATTCATTCAGCAAGTTATTTAGATCGTTAAAATCAGTTTTAACCGAATTATCTCAACCAAATTGCAACAAATAGCTAAATTATCCTTCAAGAAAACATTTTGTTTGACTCGAAACAAAATATTTCCATTAAGTTCAAAACAAAAGCAAACAAAATAAAATCAACTTATAGAACAGTATATCATAGGATCAGAAGGCGAAAACAATTAAGAAAAATAAAATAGAACATTCATTTAACCAAAACAAACCAAACCACTATCAAGTGTTAGTATTTTGCTATAGTGTTCAATCTTCGTTTCAGCACATCGATCACTCGCTTGAGGCTGGCTGGCCGCGAACGGGACCGGATCAAAAACGAGTCATCCCACCAACGGCCACGCAGTGCAGTCCCAACTCACCTGCCTCTCTTTGTCAATCTCAAGCCACCACACGCGATTGCTCTCAATCCTGCAGCTTTTACATAAAATGGCAAAAGCTACTACCACAATTCTAATCCAATGAATACCCAATTATCCAGAGTTGTAGAGCGTGTGTGTGTGCGCGTAAGGTTGAGCAGTGCCTATTTTTTGTGGCGCCAGAAGAGGTAGTGACATAATTGACATTTACAAAACAATTCTCTTTTTAGTTTGATCCTTTTAATTTTCGAACCTTTTCCATTCATCCGTTAAATTTGCATATTCGTTTCGATACTTTTTGTCTCACCTTTTTGAAATTTGTCCAAACTGAGAGAAAACCTAGCCATTCCATAGGACTTTGCTGTGAACGATTGATCTTCTGCTGTTCTTTTCTTCTCTTTTATGACTCTTTTTAGGTTCCAAGGACATGCATGCCTGCTGCCGGCGGACCAGTCAGGCCCGAGCGCATCATCTAGTTCCAAGTAAGTGCTTAGAGCTAGTTATCGTTCTCATTAATCGACTCCTCACTTTCCATATATGTAGCGATTTTGAATGGGATTGTTATTCTATATCTCGATAATTCTATAACTCGATGGTCCTTTGAATATCGAGTTGTAGAGAGTTCACTGTACTGAAAAGATAAATTTTTATCACAAGTCAGGCATAACATTTGATAACGGCACAAAAGCATTTGTAAACAAACTTTCTAATATATTTACAAATAACTTATTCGTTTAATTTGAGGCAAAACTGTAGTAAAATTATTTATATTATAACTTTTTTTAATCAATACTTTTACTCCTGCATCTTAAAAACTGACTAGTCTGAGCAGTTATAACATGTTATATGCCTATCTTAATCATACTTTTCTTGTCGATAATTATTATAACATGCTATAACCAACAATCAATACGAAACTAACGATTTTAAATTGGCTCACTACTTGACTAGCCTATTGGTCCCAAGGAAACGATTAACGTATCCCATTCTAGTCGAAATTCTAGTACTACGCAATGTTTGTTTTGATTCGCTATGAAAGTTTGACAGATAAAATGAGGGGTTATTGGTTTTTCCTATGTTTCGAGGGGTGAATCGATTAGCTTGGGACCGAAGAGAGTACCAGAGCTGAGCCAAAAAGTTGAGCACGTTATTTCGGGAGCTTCTAGTCTTAGAGTTACCTCTATGCTATAACTCTGTAGTTTGAACAACCCACATAAAAATTACCATAAAAAGCGCCTAACCATCATTTCGAGTTATCATCCCAACTTTAGGTGGTATGGTCATACCAACCGGTTGAAACTAACGATTTTAAATTGGCTCACTACTTGACTAGCCTATTGGTCCCAAGCAAATCGATTAACGTACCCCATTTTAGTCAAAATTCTAGTATGTACTACAATGTTTGTTTTGATTCGCTTTGAAAGTTTGACACATAAAATGAGGGGTTAGTAGATTTTCCTATGTTTCGAGGGGTGAATCGATTAGCTTGGGACCGAAGATAGTACTAGAGCTTAGCCAAAAAGTTGAGTACGTTTCTTCGGGACCTGCTAGTCTTAGAGTTACACTCCCGATCATAAGTTTACGGACACCTCCAAAAAAAACATGACAAATTTGTTATGTTCATATCTCTGTCATGTTACGTCCAATTTTCGTTCTCTTTAGATTATTTGAAAGGTATTGAATGGGACTTTCCTCTTTGTTCAATATAATTTTCAAATTTTGTGTGCTAAAAGTTCACCCAAACGTACAATATTTTCGAGGGGGGCGACACATCTAAATCTCAATTCTAGATGCTCAAAAAATCTCACACTAGCGAATAAATCTTCGAAAAATCTTCTTTCATTTCTCGCATCTACTTGCATCGCGCATCATCTTTTTGCAGGAAATCTTCAAAATCGTGATAAATCTTCTTTCTGTCTGCTCAGCGTATGCGCAGCTAGCCACAGCAAATCACAATATTTCCTGCATCGTAGATAGAGTCGTCCCCCTCGAATATTTTTCAAAATTTACTATGAAGAATCGTGATTGATTTTTTCAGAATTGGTTTGGCCAAATTTTGAAATAAAAGTAGTAGTAGAACACTTATGCTATACCATTCATACCATTCAAATAACCTTTGGATATCGAAAATTGAACGTAAAATGAGAGATCATTGAACAATACATATTTGCATGGTTTTTTGGGGGTGTCCTTAAACTTATGATCGGTAGTGTACCTCTATGGTCATATCTAAAGAGCCTGAATTTATAAAGAGGCGACATCTTATCCATTTGACAGGTCTTCTGCTCGATTGGAATGACTTTTCTGGTGACTTTGACAGATATTCGATTGTTCCAATTTTGACATGTCGTCTCTTTATAAATTCAGGCTCTTTAGTCATATCATCTATGGTTTTGCTGTGCATGCACTTTGTTTATTTACATTTTTTCCACAAATAACGTAGTGAACGAGACTCTTTTGTTGTACCTAATAAACCTAATAACCCAACAATCAATACGAAACAATCGATTTTAAATTGGCTCACTACTTGACTAGCCTATTGGTCCGAAGCAAATCGATTAACGTACCCCATTCTAGCCGAAATTCTAGTACTACACAATGTTTGTTTTGATTCGCTATGAAAGTTTGACAGATAAAATGAGGGGTTCGTGGATTTTCCTATGTTTTGAGAGGTGTATCGATTAGCTTGGGACCGAAGAGAGTACCAGAGCTGAGCCAAAAAGTTGAGCACGTTTCTTCGGGACCTACTAGTCTTAGAGTTACCTCTATGGTAGTGTTATGCTGACACTTGCGTCAGTTTGTGTATCGTTTATATTATTGATAGCAGTTCTTATGTTTTCACTCCTTAAGACTTTTTTTGCCAGCATGAAAATTTGTAATAACTTTTTAGATAGGGGAAATGACGGCTTCGGCATGACAGACTATTTTCGGCAACCCAAATTGAAACACTATTTTCACTGGATTTTCTTACGAAAACACTTCGCTGAATGCATGCAAACGATTCTTTATGCTTTCAGCTTCAATTTGACTATATTTTTACCACTGAGAAAAAGCAATCTAGCAGGGTTTTCTTGAAATGAAACACACGCACTACAAATTGTAGCAGATTTCGAGTTGCCGATAATAGAACAGCAGATTTACATGCAGTTCAAATGGAACGGTTGCCGAAGAAAAACTGGTTGCCGACAATACTCGCTCTCACTAGAGAAGATTGGAGCTTTGTCAAAGCGTTTCAAAACAGTTTTTGACAATTCTTTCGACTGAAATTGTTAGAGCAGCTGGCAGCAAAAGATTGTGAACAAACCAATACTGCATATGTGTGCGTTCCATAGAGAAAAAGGCTATAGAAAGAAGGTCGCTGCTTAGGTTGCCGAGAATACGTAAATTCCCCTACTCATTCAAAGTTTCATATTTAAAGAACTTATCTGTTTCAGTTTCACCAATTTGTTTTCTACATTCATCGAGCATTATCAAAGTAACCCCAAATCAAAATACTGAAGTTCGGTCACAAAACTAAAAAAAAGTAGTGTAAATGCTTAAATTTCCGTTAACCATAAACATAGGGGGGCGACCCCGGCGTAGTGGTTAGTATCCATACCTCTCACGCCAAAGTCACGAGTTCAAATCTCACCCTCGGACAAGTCACGAATGACCCAAGAGCGTTAAAGTGACTATAAAAAAAATGCATAATAAAGTGCAGTTAAACATATTACTAACAAATTAACTAATGGATTCTCAGTACCAGTGCTTTTTCAAACAGGTGAAAAACACGAAAATTGTTTTTTAATATGTTTGTAAAATATGTTACACATACTATATAAAAACTATATACGATATCAACGGAAATACCCTAAGCTACAATATGGAACCAATGTTTCTAATTTGGAAAAAGCGCAGCGAGTAAATTTATTCTTTATATTATACTATCAAAGTTACCCGCATTATCAAAGATACCCCGTTTTACGGTATATATAGATATAATTTGATTTACGGTTTAGCGACTTTGCAGTCAATTTAATTGTTTATGAGAAAGTTTGAACATACTGAGAGGTAAGCACATATCATCGGTAAGAGACGTGTGTCTGAGAAAATTTGCGAAAAATCTAAGGGCACCGGTGGGATTCGAACCCACAATTCCCATTCAGTACACGGGTGCATTGCAAATTATACAACGGTGGACCTATGGTCTACGGATGTATTTGGCTAATGACATTTGAGTTTCAAATCCGTTTCCCACCCTAGTCTTTTTTTTTGCGCAAGCATTAGGGGAAACGCTCCTATAGTTGCGGTACGTTAGAAGCGTTAGGTTCCTATAGTTGTGCATGGAGATTCAATACACAACTATAGGAACTTAACGCTTCTAACGTACCGCAATTATAGGAGCATTTACCCTATATAGATATAATCTTGATAGAGCTGGAATTAGGGCGTAACAGCTTTTGTAAACAATGACTTCTGTCGATGATTTCTCGAAACTCAAGGCAAACCCACGCAAACCAACATAACCAACGGGAAGGGGAAGTGTTCCCCTACCCGATGGTGGCGATTATTTGAGTGGGCGAGCCTTGGTTTTTTAGAAATCGTCGAGAGAAATCATTGTTACCAAAAGCTGTTACGCCCTAATTCCAGCTCTATCTAGTAATGTCCTCCAATTTTTAGAAATACGTTTTCCGGCAAATTTTAGAAAAACCTACTTTTTAGAATGCATATATCATGTCAGAAGCTCGAGAGTATTTAGCAAATCATATGATTGGTCCCTGAGTTCACAATCCCTCACAAAAAATGCATGCAATAAAAAGTCTCCCCCAAGTTTTCAAAATGCTTTTTTGGGCATCTTTCAGAAAAAAACGTACTTTTGAG